GTCAGCAGGGAGAGAAAAAATGTGTTTCGCAGAGCTTTGCTGTGGTGGCCACGGAGACTTGGCTGTAAAGTCGTGAGTTGATCAGGGTGTTGGTCCCAGTGTTGTCTGCTGTTGAGTATATTTGTTGCCTCTATACAACTCTTAAGTTGGTGTTGGAAGAAGAGCTTCCTTGGTCGCTTGTTGTTGCGCAGCTGAAGTTTCCCTGTGGGAGAGCCCCACTAACGCTGTCTTCGCGCAGGTGGCCCACTGCTACCCAGAGCACGTGGCCAACTTCCCGCAGCAGCTGAAGGAGCTGCTTTCCTACCACCACACGGTCCTGGACGCTGACCTGCGCATGGTAAGGTTCGCGCCGAGTGCTCTGGTGCATGTTGGTAACAAGCTGTAGCCTGGTTTAATCAGAGCCTGCAGTTTCCTTTGCTGTTTTTTTTTTTTTTTTAAATAAGCATTGAAAGCAGGTGTGAGCTTTGGTTCTGATCCCTGCTTCTTCATTCCAGACCTTCTGCAAGGCTTTGATCTTGCTAAGAAACAAGAATCTGATCAATCCAACGAGTTTGCTGGAGCTCTTCTTTCAACTGCTGCGGTGTCACGATAAACTCCTCCGAAAAGTAAGCCATGCTTTAAAAACCATCCTTCATTTCCAGTGGGTTTTGACTGTTAACAGAAGCAATGCAGCCTAGCGGGCAGCTGTTTTGCTTTTACTGGTAGCAAAATGATGAAGCCTAAAAGACGTCTATTGTCACACGCTGCCTAAGCAATGAATTTCGCTACCCCGAACGACACGGGCCGTGTTGCAGCTCTTAGGCCCGCTCTGTGTTTGAGGTTGAGCCGCTCGGGTGTTTCTATCTAGAGCTGAAAACTGGCAGCACATTGCTGTCATAAGAGTGATTTTGGAGTTCTTGTGAAGACTTCTAAGGAAAGAGAGATGCTAGTTGTAGCCGTATTTAATTTCTTTTTGACATAAAAATAAAACTTGTCACTTTCTACCACCAGAATTCCTTAATTCGCCATCAGAATGTAGTCCTAGCAAAAATGGATCAGGAGTGTGTTTTTTTGGGTTTCTGTAGCTGTTTTATGCTGCTCATCTTCCTGCCCCACTACTTGTGTTATAAATTAAGCATACTGTTCAGATATATTATTAAATAGAGAAGTTCAGATACATTAAACTAAGCATACATTAGGCATAGAAGTGTGTACTATAAATGAAGCATTAAGCATGCTATTCATTTTCCTGTCTCACTGTTTGCGCTATAAATTAAGCATACGGTTCAAATACATTAAATGGACATACTTCAGGCTTTACAGAGTAGCCGTTTATGTTTTTTTCCAACTGTAATTTAAAAGGCAAAAGAATGTTTAACACCATGGTCATCAGTTCTTGCTCTCACCTTAGTACTTCAGGTGAGAGACTGTGGTGCATCTGTGGTGCTTTCTGCATGACTTGTGCATGACTTCCTGTTATTTCTTCATTTACAGACTTTGTATACTCACATTGTGACAGACATCAAGAATGTAAACGCTAAACATAAAAACAACAAAATAAACACAGTAAGTATTTGGGTGTTCAGGTTAATATTCTATTACCTCTTCATATCACAAAAGCATTCTAGCAATAAACTTTCCGTAACTTTTTTCTTAGACCCTGCAGAACTTCATGTACACCATGCTGAGAGACAGCAATCCCACTGCTGCCAAGATCTCTCTGGATGTCATGATTGAACTTTACAGAAGGAATATTTGGTAGGTTTGGCAAGCCCTTTACCATGGGATAGTCCTCTTGAAGTCCCTCTCGGCATGTAGTGCAAAACGTCACGTGGAGGGGCTGTGTCGTGATTGTATTTATCCTGTTTGTGAACTAGTGGACCCGTACTTTGTGGAGTGCAATCTAGCTGGGAGGAAATATTCTCTCATGTGATGTTTCTTGGTTATTTAGGTTGAATCTTTGAGGTTTTATTTGAAAATAATACAGGAATTGCATGTTGTCTGGATGAATAAAAGCTGTGCTTTTTTTGAACTTCTTCATGTAACTGCTAATATAATGGAGAGACAGCACTTGGGCTTTTTCTTTTTCCTTAAGTTTGCAAGATCATTCTAGATGGCCAGTCTAATGGAGGTTTTCTTTATTTTTTTTTTTCCCTGACGCTGTAAGACAGCCACTATTTTTAGTAGATAGTATCCTGAATAACTGCAGCATGGAAAAATAAGGGAAAGCGTAGCAGCACGCTAGGTACGCTGGTTCTCTCATGCCTGAGATGGTGGGAAATTGTTTTTTATTGTTACAAAATGCCTGAGCAGATGCTTTTTAGTGGAAAACTGCAGAAGATGGCATCTTGTTCATTATCACCTGCCTCTTGATTGTAAAAGGACATTTAAAAACTTGAGGCTGTACAATTTCCATCTCCCTGACTCTTGCACAGAAATGAACTTTAGGAAGAAGCTGTCTGAATTCGGCTAGCGATGCTGCTGATGTGCACTGTATCTGATGCTTATTCTGTATTTCCCAAAGAGATCAGAGGGAAGCTTCCCTAGGGAAGCAGTTCCTGCGTTTTGTCCTTGGGCAGAGTTCCCAGTGACTCCTGTGTGCGTTGTGCAGGGATGTGAATGTCACCACTGCACTTCTGCATTACAGGGAGAAACAGGTGATGAACACAACCTTGTACCCACGAGTACTGGGGCCTGAGGAGTTCTGATGAGCAGTGTTCCAGGAAATCCCATCCATTGGCCTATTCTGTGGGGCATTAGTCTAATCTGTGGCACAAACAGAAAGGTCACAGCAGCTATGCTAAGATTTCTGGTGTAGCAGTGCGATGAGAACTTCTACAGTGGAGAGAAAATAGAGCTTGAAATAAATGACTGTTACTCAAAGGAAAGGTTTTTGCCATTTTAGTAACAGATTTGGTAAGCATGTGAGACTCAGGATAAGTTAAAAATAATCTCAGTAGCTTTATTTCTTATAGAACCTCATTTCTAAGAGATAGTTTATTTCAGCTTTCTAGCACTTTTTCTAGTACAAATCAGAATTCTCCATGGCTTATATCAGGTAGTATTTTTGTTTTCTTTTTATCAGTGCAAAGAATTGTAACAACTGTCTGCTGTTGTTTTACTGTAGGTTCATTTTTATTGTCAAAGTCCACTCGTTCCACAGTATGATCTAGATCAACAGCTAAATTTATGTTCCATCTAGGGAAAGCCATTGTCACGTTCCTTTTGGAACCACGACATTTGGAAACATAATTGTGTGAGTCGTCTTTGGAATATTAAGGGGTTTGATTCTTAGGAACCTTTACACTTATGAGGAGTCCTATTTTATACTACTTAGTTTTCTTAGAATGTTTTGAAATGGCCAAGCTTCAAGTAAAATATAATGTTTTGTTTTATTTCAGGAACGATGCCAAAACGGTCAATGTTATCACAACTGCCTGCTTTTCCAAAGTGACGAAGGTGAGAAGAGAAACAAGTTGGTGTAGCAGTGGATTTCTTTTCTTCTAAAAAGTGTGGGATGGCATGGAGGGCAGGAATACTCTGCGGTTAATCAGAAGCAATTGCCAGAATATTCTCTCCTTATAACTGGCAAGTAAGGCTTTTGTTTGTGAGAAGTGAAGACAGTTGCACTCCTGCCCGTGGTTTGGGTGGTTTGAGGACTGGTCTCATCTGTTCAGGTTCTGCAGGGCTGGATGTTCCAGAAAAGCACATTATAGTTTGAGCGAAGTCCTTCCATAATAAAATTCAAAAGCTGTTTCATTTAATTAAAAAAAAGGGGATGCATGGGTGGGTGGGACTTTACAAACCCATATAAACTAATAAAACCTTGGAGTTCTGAGCATTGTGGATCAGGTATGGATTATGTAGGAGTTCTTGATAGCTGTGGCATGGAGCAATTAGATCCAGAGGAAAAGAATTTGCATGTTAAATTTTACTGAAAGTGTTATGGAAGCCCAGCAGCTTCCCAAGTCTTCTTGTGCCTCTGTTTTTTGTTGAGAATTAGCAGCAAAGACTGGCCGTGTTAGTGCACTCATGCTTTTCAGTTTGATCTGGTTTGCTTTCTGTTCACAGATGTGGTCGGAGCGTCTTGGTGTCACTTTGCTGTTTTAATTTCCCTTGTTTTTTCGTCCAGTCTGACCTGAACTTGCTTTGCTTTTCAGATACTCGTTGCTGGTTTGAAGTTCTTCCTTGGGAGAGATGAAGATGAGAATCCAGACAGTGATTCCGAATCTGAGGTGGGCCTTGGATTTAATCTTTCTCTCTCAGTTCTTCAAATGCTAATAGATGAGTTATCCTGCCAAAACTGGCTACACGAGGCTGTGCTTCTGTATTACTGTGTTTTCCCTCTTGTTTCCTCCACTGATTTGTCTAACTCGTAAAAACTTTTAATGTTTGTGAAAAACTTCTAATGATTTTGAGAGTTGTCCTCTACTGATAGCAGGATGCCTTTGCCATCTGTCTCCAGATGGATACTAAGGGTTCCTTCCCTCCTGCTGCTGCTACTGTGTAGGAAGCAATTTATTCATAGCAGCTAACCAGGGCCTGGTTGGTCTGGTTTGTTCAGCTAATGAATTGCTAAAAGTATAATGTAGATTTGTGGAGAAGGGCTTTCTTCTGATAATCACTCTGATCACCCAGCTGCTAAAACTGCTGTGCTGATGTGCTTTTACTTCTTTTTAATCTTTTGTATGTAAGTTTGTGCTAGTTTTATATAATCAGGACTTTAAGTTCTAATGTTTGTAAAATGAAATTTAGGATGGTATAGAGAGAAGGGAGTTCTCATATATAGTACGTGATCCTGAAAAATATTGATGCTTTTTGTTTTTCCGCTTCACATTTGAAGCCTGATTTCACATGAGTTCCTCTTTTTTTTTTTTTCTTTTTTTTTTCTTTTTTTTTTTTTTTTTTCCTCATGAGTCCTACTTTTTTCCCTCATGCCCTTTCTGAAGGATGATGGCCCCACAGCCAGAGAGCTGATGGTGCGATATGCAACTAATAAGAAAACCACCAAGCGCAAGAAGAAACTGGAGAAAGCCATGAAGGTCCTCAAGGTGAGCAGATTGGTGTCCGACTTGCCAGGATTTTAGCGTAACCTTCAAGTGGAAGAATTCAGGGGTTTCTGATGTGTTAGCTTTTGTCATCTCTTCTAGAGCAAGCTCCTCAAGTGTTTTAGCATCTATTGGCCAGGTTATATGCAGTGTTTGCCTAGGGGAGAGGTCTTCTAAAACAACCTTGTATACTGTAAACTGTGGTCTGGGGTCTCTTTTGTGGTCCCCTTTGTGTACTTCAGATACCCAGGGCCCTGAAGAGGTTACTGTGTGCTGCCTAAACAGTGGTTTGCTGAACAGAAATGACCATCTAGGAACAAATGTCTGTACTTAGAAGGTAACTTTTTTTAAGCAGCTTCAGTTGCCTCTGAGTTCCAGGGTTGAAAACGATATGCAATTGTTAGAAGGTTAGTTTTCTTGTCAAAATCAACAGCTATCATTCTCTTTGGAAAGAATAATGGGGAATGGCAGCATTCAGCAATAACCTCAAACTGAGGCACCTGCAGCTTCAGGAGAAGGAAAGAAAAAATCTTTTTTTTTTTTCTTTTCTGATACAGAAACAGAAGAAGAAGAGAAAGCCAGAGGTGTTCAACTTTTCTGCTATTCACTTGATTCATGATCCCCAAGGTAAGCAGGTAACCTGTTCTGGTTTGTTGACAGCCAAATACTAGGATTTGGAGGACAAAAAACCACCAATATGCAACCAGAATAAAAGGGGTAAGCGGTTACGCTTGTGACACGCTGATGCTTGTAGCACGCTTGATCATAGGGCCTGGGAGTACTTCAGTAAAATAATTTAAAACTTGCTGTGCTTGTCCAAGTTAGTGTTGCACTACTATACATTCAAGCAAGGAAGAGCAGTGTTAGATTCATTTCCTTTATGTTGTTACAAATCAAGACCTGGGTCTTAGTCTCTTCCTTGTGTGTGTCAAGGCCATAACTTGTTTGAATGGGGAATACTTTATCTCTTCAAATTTGTTTTTTTGAGTTTTCTGTTTAGTTTCAATATCATTAAAGTGCTTTGGACAGTTAAAAATTGACTACCCCCATTTAGAAAATAATCTCTATTACTAGTCTGATGTCTGTCTGATACCGTTTGACTTCTTTTCAGTCCGATCTCGTAAACCTCTGGGGATTTTGTCAGGTAGATCTAAAATATATCTAATAAAAATAGCTTTATATGCTAATCCGGTATTTTTGATGATGTGGAGCTTTTGCTAGCTCTCCTTTAACTTGCATCTATGCACTGATTTAGACTTTCTAAGCACATGAGAGAAAAAAAACTGCTCAGGAGCAGTGTTCTTTGGCATCTTTGCTTTCTTCTTGCAAGGGCACTGCCACTTGAAAAAGCCAATTTTTCAACTAACTTTGAACTGTGTTCTGCATTGTTTTGTTAAAATTTACCACACACCTGTTTGGGTTTCGTTTGTTTGTTTTTTCCCTAGACTTTGCAGAGAAACTGCTGAAACAGTTGGAGAATTGTAAAGAACGATTTGAAGTGAAGATGATGTTCATGGACCTGATTTCCAGGCTAGTTGGAATACATGAGGTACCTGCTATGTTAATGTTAGTAAATTATTAGCTTGGTGTGAGAAGCTGACTTGCCACTTTTAATAGTCAGTGTGCAGCCAGCAAGGTTAAAGGCATGATACACTCTGGCCTGGTGCCTCTGAGAAGTGGGTTTTAAGTTCACTGTTATGTTGAAAAAAGAAAATGAGTGTGGTCTTGTATTTGCCAGTAGGCCTTGCAGAATGGCACGACAGTGTTGGCTTGCATGGCTTTAACTGAGCTTTCCTTGCTGGCTGTTAAGGCCCTGTTGTCAGTTAGGATCCCCCCTAACACCTGGAGGGAAAATGTCTTTTTCCAGACCTTCCAGGTGCTTTTGTCAGGTTCTTCAGTGTAGAGGGACCTTCCTCTGCATATTTCTGCAATTTCCTCTGCATAAGTCACTTTGTTGCATTTCCCCTTTAACTCAAGGCAGGAGAATGTCTCATCTTGGCCTGTGAAGGTGATCTTGGTTAAAAGAGAAGAAGCTAATATGTCACAACTTGATTATTTTTTTTCCTTTTCTCCACAGCTTTTTCTTTTTAACTTCTATCCCTTTGTGCAGAGATTCCTGCAGCCCCATCAGAGAGGTAAGCAGCTACTGGTAGATAATAACACTCATCCACTATGTCACACGTACAGTCTGTTAGCAGTGTGGCTTTAAATGACGAGGCAGCAGAAGTAGGTGGTAGTAAGTACTAAGAAGGAGTAGCTCCAGAGAGTTTGGATGAAGGCAGGTTATGAACAGAGGTGACTTCCTACCCCTTCTATCCCAAATGCTCCTACTGAGCAAAAGGCCCCAGCTGCCAGAAATGCAGGGCGCTTCAGACTTGTGTGTATCACATCTGAGATGATCTTAGCCATTGAGAAACTCCAGAAGTGGAAAATAAATGAACCTGCTGAGTTCCTAGTGGGAGATTCTAACTAGTGTGGTTTGTTGTACAGGATGGCTCAAATGCAAACTGAAATGTTTTTGAGACTAAGAGACCTAGTGCCTTGTTGATTTATGGTATTTGTGAATGTTTTTATCAGACAGAACATCTTTTTTTTCCCATTTTTCCTTTTTCCAGAAGTGACAAAGATTCTTCTGTTTGCTGCACAGGCTTCGCATCAGCTAGTACCACCGGAGGTCAGGACGCCACCAAGTTTCAGTGACATTAAAAATGGGCAGCGGGCTGGCATGGTTATATATTTGCTCAGTGCATTGATTAGGGGTGAGGGAACAGGGAATCTGTCTCATCAGGAATCTGGTCTTGTGTTGAACAGCAAAGCAACTCCAAAATGGTTAAAACTCCGTGGCAGAATATTTTTTTAATAAAGGCTTTTGAGAGAAATGTGTAATGCAAGAGTTCCTTTTTGGAGACCCATATTAGTGTCTGGGCATTTTAGTTACCAACTCCACATCTTCATTTTGTCATATGAACTTTATAAGCTGAGAAAGAGAGAAGAAAAAAAAAAAAGTCTTCACCCTTTTCATCCCCAGTTTCTCCATGGTGTCTGCTGTGTTTTTACCGGATAGCTCTAGTCATTACATTTTGGATGATTTGAAAAGCATATGTGAGTTTTAGCTCCTGTTGGCTGCTTTTGACAGTTCAGAGGGGTTGTTTTGTGTAAAGAAAAACAACCTGCCCCCCAATATATGTCTTGCTGCAGGAAAATTTGTCTGGAAAATATCTGCAGGTTATAATGATAGATCCTAAACTCTACATTTTTGTGAAAAGGGGTTCCGTTGCCTACTATATAGGGCTATTGAATAAAACATTATGACATCTTAATAAAAGTGCAATATGTATATTTAAACTTTTTTTTTTTTTTCAGATTATCCAGTCAGTGTTAATGACTATAGCAAACAACTTTGTCACCGACAAGAATTCTGGGGAAGTGATGACTGTGGGGTATGTATGAAATCTCATGCTCTTGGAATGTGGAATATGTATTTCTTGGCTCAGGGAAATAACGGCACTGTCAACACTTGAATGCATTGCTGCTTAAGTGGTCAGGAGCTGTCAGGCTGCGTGGTTGGAGATCAAGCAAAGTAATAGCTGGAGGGTACAAAACATGGGCCAAAGAGGATTTTGGAGAACTGTGGCAGAGAGCATCTTCTGTCTGGTTGTCTTATACTTATATGAACATTGTCTAAAATTCTTGGATTTCCTGATAAGTCTATTTCTGGGCTTGCAGGAGTCTCTCCTGTGTTACTGAAAAATATTTTGTTTTCTATTTTTCAGAATCAATGCAATAAAAGAAATCACTGCAAGATGTCCTTTAGCCATGACTGAAGATCTGCTCCAAGACTTGGCTCAATATAAGACTCATAAAAATAAAAGTAAGTGTATTATTTAGATGTATTATTTAGTGTATATTTAGATCTCTTTTCTTCTTTCTTTCTTTCTTGTATTATCTTGTCTTCCTTTGCACTGTTACAGTTTTCAGAGCTGAAATGTAGTGCTAATATCTTTTTTATTGTGGTGAGGCAGCTTATAATGGTAGTCTGTCTCATTTCTTTGCCTATTGTAAATGTATGCATGTAGAAGGCTAAAGCCAAGGTAGATGTGGCAGGGGAAATAGTAAAACTGAAGAAGGCAACTGCCTGCTAAGGAAAATTTGACCCTAATAGTTTGTTGGATCCTGTACTAGAGAAATAGTGGGAGGTTGGACTTGAGAAAAGTCAATGAGCAGGCTGTGAATGCTTAAAATTGGAGTGGGATCAAATCCTTCTTTTCTCCATTATAGCTAACCCAAACTCTCTTTTTTATGGGTCATAGATGTGATGATGTCTGCCAGAACTCTGATACACCTTTTCCGTTCACTGAATCCAGAGATGCTGCAGAAGAAATTCAGGGTATGTGTTTGATACACACTGCATTAATCGCAGACATAGGATTCCATGCTCAACAGTGATGCTGATGCAACTAGGCTCCTTACACCCTGGCAATGGCATGGAATCAAGCCTGCATGTTAATAAGGCATGTGTTCTCCCTGTGCCTGCTCCCTGGCTGCGTTCTGTTTGATGTAGCTATGTCTTTTTTTCCCTGACTTCTTCATTTCAAATGTATTAATCTGTTCATTGAAGAAATGCTAGAGAAAATTGGCTCTCTTTATTGATTTTTTTTTGAATAATTCAAGATCACCTCTTATTTCATCAGAGAAAAGCTATCTTAAAATGAAAATAGAGGAGGGTTCTGGGATTGAAAGTAGCAGTCTACTTAACTTGTATTTTGCTTATAGGGGAAGCCTACTGAGGCCTCACTGGAAGCCAGAATTCATGAATATGGAGAGCTGGATGCAAAAGATTATATTCCAGGAGCAGAAGTACTGGATGTTGGCAGTCAAGACGAAAATGGAGGAAACAAAGAGGAAGGTTGGCTCTTTATTATTTTCATTTTACGTATTATTGTCTTTCCCTTCCAAAAGGAAAGCTTTTTTGCTGATAATATTGTACTTAGTTACCGTGAGTTGCTTCTGGTGTAGAAACTCCCCGCAGCCTGGACCTGCTGCCTGAACTGGAGGAAAGCAAAAAAGGTGGGAGTGGAACTTGAAACTTAGGTCAGAAGAGTTCTGCTAGTCAAGGCTGAGGTGTAATGGAGATAGTGCAGTGGAAGTGTATTAGAGGAATGTATGTGCCCTGACATGCTGTTTCTCTTATTCATTTGAATGCAGGTATTAGCAAAATGAAAATTTTCTTTGCCTTCATTTTTATGAGTTGATATTTAAAAATGCTTGGGATTGCATTGACAGTAATGAAGGCATATACTGCGTGTTTTAGGCAGTCTGTTTCAGGTGTGAACATTCTCCAAGACAGCACACAGACATACGCATTTACCACTACAAAAAACGAGTGCCCGTACCTGAATGTGGTGGAGGCAGGTGATCTGGGTGCACCAAGAACTGAAGACTTTGAAGTTCTTTTCCTGTTTGTATGGTAGCTGCCAGAGCTTTGTGCTCTGACACTCAAGATATTGCAGGCCAGATGGAAATTGGTAGCAGAGACAGAGTTTGTGGCTGAGCTTGCTGGTGGGAAAGCTACCTGTCTCTTCCATGGTGGATGTCTTCGGGGATACGCTATTCACAAACAGCAATCAAATGAGTGAAATATCAAGCAACTTGCTAATGTCTGTATGTTCTGAGGCATGGGCTGCTGAAATCTACAGGTGATCTGTTTAATAAGCATGTCCCTGGGCATAAATGTAGTTAACAAGTAGGTAGTGAAAGGCAGTGAGAGCCTGGGACGTTTTCTTTGAATTCCTTGCAACTCAGGCAATTGAGCTGAATCTGTGCCAAAGGCGCTGTGTGCTTGTTTGCCCTGACAGATGGATGGGAAAGCGCTAGTCTCAGTGAGGAGGAAGAGGATGAAGACGGGGAATGGATTGATGTGCATCACTCTTCAGATGAGGAGCAGCAAGAAGTAGTGAGTTTCAAGTGTCTTCTACCACAAATATCAATGTTATGTGCTATAGCAGATGTGATTCTGGTGCTCTGTACCTTCACGTGGTTGCTTACAATTATGCAGAGTTGCATGATGATTTTTACTAGGATCAATGAGGTGAAGTGTTTTTCTGCACATGTACTGAAGGATGCATGCTGATGAGGGGGAATATTGTCCCAATGCTGAATTCCTTCAAAGCTGTAATCTTTACATACTGAATGCTTTCTTTTGCTCTAAAAATGCCTTTGCTTTATTACTTTGTGTTGGATATAAGAATATTGAGAATGCTAACAACTGATCAGAGCTTTCCCCCACAACATCCCCGTTTTATAAGTTTGTGGGAAGCACGGGTCATGGATTAGGGCAGAGAAATGTTTCTGCGAACCTCTGGGTGATTCTTTTCTACTTCTTTGCAAAAGGCAGAAAAGATCAAAAGCATGCCCTTAGAGGAGCGAAAAGCCAAAGCAGCAGCAGTCAGTACAAGCAGGCTGCTAACTCAGGAAGACTTCCATAAAATACGTCTTGCCCAGCTGTCCAAAGAGCTCAATTCCGCACCAGGAAAAGCTGCCAAGAGGAAAAACATTGAAATAGATGAAGAAGAGGAGAGCAGGTAGGATACGAAATATTGATCGGGCCTTTCTTTTCTCTGTAGTCTGGTGGGTTTGGGTTTTTTGCTTGGTTGTTTTTTAATTGCAGCAGGGTACAGAACTGTACTATTGCATCAGGATAACTGATGCCATGTGGCAAACTGCCTGGCCTCAGGGTTTTCTTTTTATTGGAGAGAAAAGAAAGGAGGCGGCAGCAAGAGGGACCAGTGAAAACCAAGAGAGTGTTCAGCTTGTTCAGACTGATGGGCATGTTTTTCCTGCAGTAGTAGTTGCATGTTTGTATCTCCAAGGGTTTTTGATTATGTGATTAAAGGACTTGAAAAAGCAATAATGAGAGTTTGTGAAAGTTATCACAGCCCAGGGATTAGCTTGAGAGAAAGAAGTGTTGTGTGAATGTTTATAGGCAGATGACGGGTCAGGAGGGTGCTGTTTTTCTTGCTAGATGGTGCTTTGCGAGTGATGGCCTTTTGTTGGATTTTCGTTTGTGTGTAGGGGAGAGTTGCTTTCGCTCAGAGATATTGAACATCTGCATAAGAAGCCTAAATCGGACAAGGAGACCAGACTGGCAACTGCAATGGTGAGAAACTTGGCTATTTCATATCCTCTGTCTTTTTACAGTTCTGAAGGAATTGTGTTTTCCCCTGAAAAACAAGCAGGTAGGGCTGAGTCTGTAAGAGGCCTAGCTGACATTTATGCTTTGAGACATTTTGTAAGCTGTTTTTCCTGTAGCTTTTTGGGTGAACGAGAATAATGGTCACAAATGATGATGGGAATATAAACATACAGACACTTCACCCTTGTTTAAATAAATAAAGCCAGCAAGGAGGAATGTGTGTAATATGGAGAAAGATATACTGAATCTGGAATTGTTGTTTCTGACATAGAACTTGTCATCTTAAGCCCATGTTACCTGTGGGGAGAGGAAAATACTAAAATACCTTTTCTATTCTAGGCTGGAAGAACAGACAGAAAAGAATTTGTGAAAAAGAAAACTAAAATGAACCCGTTTGCCAGCACTACCAACAAAGAAAAGAAAAAGCAGAAGAACTTCATGATGATGAGATACAGCCATAATGTCCGCACAAAAAATAAGCGTTCTTTCAGAGAAAAACAGGTAATATTCAGTGGTAAGGATAGGCTGGCAGTGTGAGCAATAAGGTTGTAGTTCAGGTGAGGTAATGTCTATCCTCTGCCCTAAGCTTTGGTTGGGCATGGCTGAGTTGCTGGCAAGCAACTAGGGTTAAGTTGCTTTTCTTGAATCCCGTCTGGATAGAGTGTATCAGAGATTCTGGGGTGGAGAAGACTTTTCACTTATTAGCATGAATTACTCTTTAATATACATGAAGGACCAAGCCCTGGTGTGAAGTCATGCCTGGGTTATTACAAAGCCAATGATAACATAGTTTGATTCGGTCTATATAAGCAAGAGTAGATCAGAGGAGGACCTTGGTGACGGTGTGAGAAAAGAAATGTTTTTGCAGCATGTTAAGAGTCGTCTTTTAGGAAGGGCTATTAGTTTGTGTGTCTGACTTTGCTGTTCCTCATACTACTGTCATATTATGGGCTCAGTTGTCCTGGCCCTAAGGTCATGTAAGAATCCAACAGTTTGCCCTAAAGAGAATTAGGGCACAGATTTAAGTACAATTTTAGACCTATTTGAAACTGTGTAGAAAATTGCATCTTGGGTTTAGCCTGCTGCTACTCTCTTACAATATGCTGATCTCAGCAGAGAAATTGCCAGCTGATGCAGGTTTCAAAGCAGCTCTGGCAAAAGGATGTGCGGGTTAAGCACAGCAGTTCTTTGGTCTAGTTACTAAGTGGTCTGTCCCACAGGTAGCTATGGCAGCGTGGCTGAAAAGGTGCCTCTAAGAGGGCTGGGGCTAGAGCAGAGACCTAGGCAGGGCTTTGTCCTACCACATTTCACCTTGTCAGGGTGCACGTGTGTTAAAAATAAGTCTGCCTTAAAACCCTTTTATCTAACCTGGCAGGTAACCAGTATGGAGTGTTCCAGAGCATTACAAAATTGAATGCTTTTGAACATGTTTCAGCAAAAACTTATTGAATAATACAGTTATGCAGGCCTCTTGGTTTTATGTGTGTTTTTAATTGAGATTTTTTTGACAGGTTCTGTCTTTTGGTAGAGCACATTTTGTTTCTTCTTTTACAATCCCTCCTTTGCCAATATCAGTAACAACAGCAGAATGTATATTTATTTGCCACTTATTGTCCTAAAGGCAGAAATACTGGAGGAAAAAAAATATCTGCAGAGAAGGCAATAGAGTGTGTGTCTTAGAAGTTTCTTTTTGCATGGAAAGATGTAGCCTCATACCTTGAGCAAATAGTTGATTTGCTGCTTTTTATTATCTCTCTCCCCAAGTAACACTGACTACATTAACTCAGTCCTCAGAACACCAGCAAAATGTAGCAAACCAAAACTTAAGCTCCTCTTAGGAAACTAGTTTAAGTTTTCATTCTTTTATGAAAGATTTGGGTGCATTTAGAACCAGAGAGGTTTGGAGTACCTGCCAGTAGCAATTCAGTGTTTTTTTTGTTTTTGTTTTTTAAGGTTATTTGCTTTGTTTCGATATGACAATAATCTCCATTGTGATGCCATTAATCATTTTACCAGATTTTAGACAAAAATTCTTTAATGTAGACTCAGTGCCACTAAAAAGTCATCTTTAATTGTTCTAGACCTTATTTTTGTTTCTGGTTTTGAATGTGTTCATATCAGATGAATGTCCAAAGAAGAATTTTTTCATAATATCTCCTTTTTGATGAAAGCTAAAATTGATCAGGCTGCTTTTCACCTAGGCCATAGCACCCATTTTGTTGACAATGATTTGGAAATGTTTCATAATAGTGGGCTGGGCTGTCTGATACTGAATTCCCCTATGTGGTTCAGTAGTAGCGTAAAATAGAGCACTGTCTGTAGTCCAGAAAATGGAAGCCCCACCAATTTGCCTTGAGTACACAGTAAACTCTCTTTCAAGTTATATAGCACTTGGGGGAAAAAAAACTGTAACATCCCTTCCTTTCCCTGTTTAAAAGAAGCTCTGTAATACTCCTCTTAAAATACTCCTAAAACTGTCCTAATCCTACTTAATTATCAGATAATTGATGTGCTTTTTTTTTTTCCTCTGATTCCTTCTAATGTAATATAATCTGTCAGTTGAACAGTTTGTTATTTTTTCCCTAATTGTGTCAGTATGGCATTTAGCAGATCCTATACAAACTGACTTTTGAGGCCCAACTTTTTCCTTAACTGTACTACCAACTTTAGCTAAGCAACCACACCATTTCTGCCATGGTAGTCTTCAGTATTTACTGCTCCCAGTTTTAGCTGAGTAGTTATTACTGCCTGTTTGTGAGGTTGAACAATTTCAGGAATTTTACGTCATTACATATTTACCCATTCAAAATAGTGTGAGTAAACTTTTTAGTTAAACCTTTCTGAGTAAGTTTCATCTCAATTCCTAATTTTACAGCTGGAAATGTTGCTGTTAGCTTTCTATAAAAATTTGTGGCATTGGGATTGAAGTTACATCCTTGTATTTTACTACTTTTCTGCTTCTTGTACCCGAGTCAGCTGGTTTTAAAGCTAGTTCAAATTCATTTTTCATCTTGGAGACCTCTTCCTTACCTGTAGTATATAAATGCCTCCGTAGAGATGTCAGTATCTCAGTATACATGATGTAAACTCCCCAAAGGGGAGTTTTCTTCTTAGGATTGATGCACAATTTTAATTGGTGTGTAAACTTGAATTCCAGTGTGGTGATTTTGTGTAGATGTCTGACAAAAATAGCAGTGAGATGCATGGATATTATTGGCGTAGTGGAGAGGGTTGTGAATTGTATACTGTTATCATTTCATTTAATTTGATATTTAAAAGTTTGAGGTACCTGAATATTCCACTGTTGTCCCATGTTCCAGCTGGCTCTTCGAGATGCACTTCTGAAAAAGAGGAAACGGCTGCTGAAGTAATGAACAGTAAAGAGGAGGAATATTGCATGTACAGGACACACCGAAGATGCCTTAATCCTTAGATCTTGATTCCAAAATCTTTCAAGGATTCAAGGCAGTTATCCTTTATTGAATGTAAATTATTTCCAGTGACCTGTTTTTGTATGTGTAAGAATTAATTAAAATATACAGCCTTTGTTATAAAACATGTTCTTACATGAAGCAGTTAATGGTTACGGGAAGGAATTTTAATCTTCTGCATCAGTCCCAAAGAAGGAGGTGCATTTGGGTAATATCTATGCCCATCTTAAGGCTATGACTTTCGTAGATTTAAGTAATAAGCCATTTTGTGAGTGGTTATTTTTACCTGTTGAGTAATAAAAAGAATAATTGTACCACTGATGAATTGAAACAGTTGAGGGGGAGAAGTATTATACTCTAAAGTTAAAATGTATGAGAAAAGAAGAATAAAATTCATTTTAATCTTTCTATTTAAAGGGAAAGATGGTTCTGCAAGCAGGACACGAACTAATCTTGTTTTCCTATTGTTGTGTGCTCCTAGGGAGCGGCTCAGGCATACGAGACCCAGGGGTAGAAAATGCAGCTCCTCTGTTTCCTCTGGTACCTGAACAATTGTGGCTTTTTCTGCGTGTGCGTGGGCCAACTCAACACTTGAGAACTGAAAGGGAGGAGGCCTCTTCCCGCCACCCTCCCTCTTGCGGCGCGCCGGCCGCCCTTGCGTAGCTCGGAGCCAGCGACCGTTGGCTTCCTTAAGGCGACCGTTACAGCCGGCGG